AAAAAAAAAAAAAAAAAAAAAAAAAAAAAAAAAAAAAAAAAAAAATCAGGTTATTTTTCTTAAGTTTTAAAATTTTAGTTTAGTTAAAGAAAATTGTAGAAATTTTATTTTGAGCCAACAGAGTAATAGTTTGTGGAAACGGATTTATTTGCATTGAGGAGGGTCTGTGGAGCAAGATTTATTGCAGGGTTTTTTGGGTATCATCCAAAGTAGGAGCAAGTAAGAAAGGGTGTCAGGCATTTTTAGGGACAGCACTTTCAATAAAGGACTTAAGAATGAATCAGAAGTTCAGTTAGCCACCACATTCTTGGATGTGAAATGAGTTTGTGCTGAAGATACACTTAACGCTGCTCCAAGATGGAGTTACTGGTAAAGTAAATCATGTAGAATTGTATCTGCCTGTACCTTGTCTAGAGTTTACCTTTGGAAATTATAAGGATTTTTGTTTCTGTTTCGAGGTGCTCTTAGCATTGTGGACACGGTGATGTCACCACTGCAAACAAAACTACTTTGTTATGAAGGATTAATTTGTTAGATGCAAATACTGCAAGCCCGTTGAATTTTTTTTGTGTATGTGAAGTTTATTAAGGATAGGAAAAGAAACAACCTCTTCAGAGCAAATGTGGGCCAGTTAAAAGTAGGAAAAGAGCCAGGCATGGTGGCGCAAGCCTGTAATCACAGCACTCAGGAGGCTGAGGCAGGAGGATCGCAGTGAAGTCGAGACCAGCCTGGGTTACATAGTGAGTTCCAGGTCAGTCTCAACTACATAGTGAGACCCTGTCTCAAAAAAACAACACAAAACACAAAAAGTCGGAAAAGGAGTACACTGGGCAGGGTGAGAGCAGACCACTATGAAAGGGAAAGCAGTGACCATAAGGTTAATGGTGGTTGTATTTTATATCTCTCACTCCTCAGTCTGATTTCAATTGTAGGTCATCCTATCAAAAACTTGCTTGAGTTCTTTAGAAAAGAACTAACGGTAGGAGCCGGGCGCGGTGGCGCACCCCTGTAATCCCAGCACTCAGGAGGCTGAGGCAGGAGGATCGCTGTGAGTTTGAGACCAGCCTGGGCTACATAGTGAGACCCTGTTTCAAAAAACAAAAAAAGAACTAAAGGTAGTATTTTCTGATTGGTCCAGGTGCAGGGCCTTGGAAACTGTTCTTTACATGTGTCCTGCAGCACAGTGCTTGTAGGTCATACCCATTTACCCAGTCAGTTTGCCCTACCTCAATTTCTTTTCTCATTTACCCCTGAAAGATGTAAATTCCCATAATTGTTTATGGGGTGCTGAAGGTATGGAAGTCTCTGTCTTCATGTAGCTACTTCCTGCTGAAAGGGGTTGTATGCCCTACGTACTGGCGATTATGTTCTCCCAACTACCTTGGGATATTGTGGCTCACGAGCGGGGTTGAAAAGAAAACCTTTCAGAAGCCATGAGAAAAGAGTGTCTATATAGGAAGAACTGTTGAGCTGCCTGTTCAGTGGGAAAAAACTTGGTGAATTTGGAGAGTAGCTTTACTATTAGGTTATGTGTGTAGAACCTAAATGTAAGAGAGAGCAGATCAGATTTCCACATTTCCTGTGGAGGCAAAAAAGGGTTATGATATGGGATACCAGTGCACCTTTATAGTAACTACTTAATCTATCCTCCAAGCAGATCTGGGGTCTTGCCTTTTGAAGAGGAGCCTTAAGTCTTGTAGAGGTTCACAGGAGTAGCCTAGTCCTGTGAAAATTTGACTATTTCCCATTTTTCATGGCATTGTAACGGCATTTTTAAATGGCTTTCCACTGTGTCCCTTCAGGAAGGACCAGTTTAATGGTTCCTCAGGAACTAGGAATAAAGACTAGTGTCTTAAGGGTCTGTAAGACTTTTTTTTTTTTTTTTGCCTCTCTACCAGTCTTTTGATTTCCCAAGAAAACTTTACATATGTTTCTTTGGTGTTCCTTGCAATGAATTACAGCAGCTTGCTTTGGAAGGTAGATTGCCTTAAGGAGTTGTAGAATTTCCTATTTGTGTTTATAGATGATGTTTATTAGCCAGCAAGCCCCTTTCTTTTCAGATGGAACCTGGGCATGTAGCTTAATATCAGTGCCCTAATAAGGCATATGAGCTTTGTTTTTAAAGCAGAGGTTCCTGGGGGAAGCAGTTTGGCCTCAGTGGCCCATTGTGAACAGAACCTACCTTTTGATGTCCTTGGACAAAACTACTATCAGTGGACCACACCTTCTCAAGGTCTTGGAGGGGCAGATCACTGATGCCCTGCCTGCTTGCATAGGTCTGGAAAAATCATCTTTTTGTAAGAGTGGATAATGTCTGAGCCTATAGGTATCAGTGAGGCAGGATTAAGAATAGTGCAGGAGGACCGGAGATGTAGCTCAGTGGCACAGCGTCTGCCTGGCAAGTGCAAGGTCCTGAGTTTGATCCCCAATACCAAAAAAAAGAGAATAATGTAGGTGTTTATGGTAACCTCAGAAATATCTAGAAGCATTGCTAGGCATAGTCTCGACAGGCATAATCTATTTTTACCTTTGCTAGAACTGGAGAATTGGCCCAAATTTTACTACTCCTAGTAAGGGAGTAGTACACTATGGGCCAGTTAAAAAATTCATGGTGACATGTCAAAGCAGGAGTGAAAAAGCTTTTGCTAGGATTTCCCTTGACACAAATTGTGGCTATAGATCTGGAGGAGGGTTTTCTAGAAAAGGATAATAAAACTAATTAAATTTGCCTACCTCACTTGAGGTTCCTCACAAGAAATGAAGTTGTTCCAGGACAGGGGCATTACAGATTGACCTGGGCCACTCCATTCCTCTTTATCAGAGTGAGGTAATAGTTTTGGCTGCCCTCTCCCCTCTGTGGAAACTGGGACAATCCTCCATTTCCATGTGTTAAGCACAGCAGTTGCCTGACACATGGAATAGGGCCTGGTGCAGTTATGTGCCCTGTGTCCAGTTTTCTTTTCTTTTCTTTTCTTTTTTTTTTTTTTTTTTTGCTTTTTGAGACAGGGTCTCACTGTGTAGTTGAGACTGAACTGGAACTTACTATGTAGCCCAGGCTGGTCTCGAATTCACAGCAATCCTCTTGCCTCAGCCTCCCAAGTGCTGGGATTACAGGCATGCACCACCACGCCCGGCTCTTGTCATTTTCTTATAGCCTTGATTGTCCCTGAGCTTTCCCTTGGGTTACTCAGGTATGCCTAAAGTGTTACCAGTTGTGACAGCCATAATTTGGTTTGTCTTATTTTTTCACCCCTTCTCCTTTTGAGCTTATTTAGATACTGGTTGTTGAACATGGAAAAGCCAGTGTCCAACAGTTGGGTCGTAGGGTTCTAGGGGGTCCATCTGCAAACCCCCAGAATTTTTTGAAAATTCAAAATATTGGGTTTCTCTAGAGTGATAAAAGAGATGGGAGAGACTCATCTGTCTGAGGACAGGATCATTAATGCTATCAATTTTTTTTTTTCCTTTGGAGGCTTCTGTCTTCGTTATTTTTCTTGTTGCTGAGACAAAAATACCTGACACCCAGATTTTAAGGAGAAAAGTTTTATTTCAGTTCACGGCTTTTAAAGATTTCAGTCCATAATCAGCAGACTCCAAGCCAGGGGGTGGCATGGCAGAGGCATCACAGCAGAGAAAAGGCTCTTTGCATGGCAGGCAGAAGGCAGCAAGCAGCAGAAGCAGCAGCAAGCCTCCCTTTCCCTTTTATCCCATCCAGGCTACAAGTCCTTTGGATGGTGCCACCTATTCTCAGGGTGGGCCTTCCTATTATTCACACCCACAACTCTGCTAAAGCAGTGGATTTATTTAGTTATCACACTATGGTAATTCATATTCATATACCCTCAATCCACATTCACACACCCCAAATCCAGCCATTTTGAAAAGTCCCAGCTATGACCACATGAGTGGGGGACATCTAGCTGTATGCCATAAAAGCCTCATAAAAGTACCGTGGTTCTTGGGCCTTTACAGGTAAAGAGCCACAAATACCTAAACATGAAGAACTTGACACCACCTTCCTTTCCTTCTGCAGAATTTTGACTGCCTCTCTGTACCCATCTTCGCAACTTTTTAAGGAACAGCCCAATGGCAAGATGGCTGATTATCTGCAGAATATTTCTCATGCTATGTCATGGGGCCTATGGAAAGGGAAAATTAGGTCTGGGATCCTTAAAAATGACATCCTATGCAGAAGGAGGAGACCCATTGAGTTCTCAAAGTGTCCCTTTTAGACTGAAGTACTCCTAAGCAGATGTCTGTGCTTGAAGATAGGATGGCACTGTTAGTGGAATTTCCTGGCTATGCCAAAATGTTATCCTGTAGCTCCTCTAAAAGTGGCTTGCCAATCACATGTTGCCAGGTTCTGGGTTGCTTGCCTTTCCTTTTGGAGTTGTATTCTGGGTTCTCATCTTGAATTGAATGAAACAAGCAAAAAGCAGTGGCAAAGTTTATTTGAAAAAGTAAAAGTGAAGATTGAGGGAGAAACTGGCTCTGCAGATCGAGCCTGGGCCAAGTGAAAGAGGAAAAAGCAAGATAAAAGAATACTCTGAAGAAAGCAGGGTGGGCTAGCTATCATGACAAAAGCCACAATAGCAAACTTCTTGACATCTGTGTCCTTTTATACTATGCAAATCTCAAGGAGACCTGTAAGAACTAAGGTGGTGCTGGGATCCCACACCTCAGGCTGATGTCTGGTCTAGGCCATCCTATTGAAAACCTGCTTAAATTCTTGGAAGAATCTA